AAAAAAAAACAAATAAAGAATAATGGGTAAATTCTAAAAAGTCCAGTTTTAAAAAAGAAAAGATCATTCACGCTACTTGATGGATCCCCTGAAGACCTCTCGGCCCACTATCATTGGCACATTCTTCCGTTCCCGATGGCTTCTTCAACTTCTTGGACCTCTGAATGCACAGTTTGCCGACTGTTGCCTCCACCGGGTAGGTATTCGGGTCCACCTTGTGCTTCGGTCGGCCTTTCTCATTCCTCGGTCGCTTTATCAAAGAATTCCGTAGAAGTCTCATTCCGTGTGTAGGGGGTTATGTTTACTCCGTATGGGGAGTAGGGCACAGCGGACGTCACATGGAGCATCCCCGACAGGGCCGACACAGGCTTGACTTTCCTTTTTCATCTCCACGCCCCAGCCCTTTGGGGAAAGTAGAGCGAGGGTTTTCCGTTCCCATGGGGTATTGCCCTTGATCACGGCCGCATGACCTGATGAGATCATCTACCATACCTCTCATCCAGTGCTATTCAAGCCTTCAATCTACGCCATACTACGTTCTCATCAGCAAAATTCGAATGCGGGCTATAGCTTCACGCCATTCCCATCGCTAATAACGGGATCCACGGTCTACCAAAGCTTCTCACGATCGTGCCGAGAAGACGGCTTGAACGCTATCCTCGGACGCTGTTCGGGAAGCCGTTCCCGTTTATTGGTTTCCCGACCGCGGCTAGCGTTAACCTGCAAGGAGAGATGTTAGATGGTGCCAATAATATTCGTGCATAGATCAAAAAATGAGATTATTCATAAGAAGACGACAAAGCAATTTCCATGAGTAATCACAACTGCTTTAGCGAAGGTAGCATCTGTTAAGGAACTTAGGTAGGCGTATCATTTGCCTATCACAGCAGTGATGGGAGATGATAATCCGTGATTTGACGCCGGACCTGATGACCGCATGGGTATCCTCCACCTTGGGTGTGATTGTTGGCTTCTGATAGACTCAAACACGGATTGGTCTCCACGTCCCCAATTTTTTGGTTTCCCATCTTTGGATTTGCATGGGTGATTTTCCTTGCGTGGGTTCGACCCAATGATTGTTTTTTCTCGGCCTGCCGCGGTCTTCGGGACCCGAGAATCCCAACTCCTTACCTTTAGCTGATATTGCTCCGACACAATTGTTCCACCAGATACACCGGCTGAAAACGTATAGTCAATATCGGCTGATCCAAATAACATAGACAAGGGCGACCAGTAAGAAAACTCCTAATATGCCCCGTTTTGTGTAGAAACGGACGCACCAGTCATGTTGCACATCACACGGCATAAGCTTAGTAACTCATATGTACAATGCTCCCTCGTGTCCCATGCGGAGCCCTCGAGCAGAAGTCCACTTCGATAAGCTTCTGCCTTGCTTCGAAAAAAATTCTGTTAGTACCGCACTGCTACACCAAAATCCCACGTTCACGTTCTGTCTGTCGCACCGTGCCCAAACAAATCGTCAAGCCGACAACAACATCCCACGACAGTAACCAGAACAGGAACTACATACGTCAATGCGGCCCCTCACGGATAGACTGCCAAGCGCCAAGGGATTTAAGAAGCAGGGTCAGGAATAAAGCTCTTGATATTGCCGCCTTAGCAGGGATAAGAATTGGACAAGCCCTCTTAGCAAATAGCCCTAAGCGGTGGAGAACAAAGGGTGGTGGAGGCGAAGGTGGGGAGCAGCCAATGCTCGAACAGATCCAAGTGGATGTCAGTAGATCCACAAACGACGCGCACGAAGTGAAAATCGTCATCATATCTGCCAATGACAATAAATTTGTTGCCTGTCCTCTTCGTTAAACACCAATGACAGTTGATCGTTCCTGAGCTCCCAGCGGGCCTGCGGTATACCCTAACTCGTCAGAATTCTTTGGCCCCTCAGGTCCCCATCCAGCTTCACATGGGCCCATGTCCACACGCACACTAACATTTTCATCTCACTACGTCAGAGGCGCATGTTGCATCCGGAATGCGGCGGATGGCTCTCGAGCAATCATCGTGTGTACAGCGAAACAAAATGCTCCGCAAAACCCACACATTCGACTGAAACAGTCGCGATAGTAGCACGGGCGATGTTCACACTTCACGCCCACCACGAGACGAGGCTCGCTCGTTCTCCGAAAAAGGGCTCACGCCCCGGTCGGATACCTGCAAGATGATGTTATCTGACAAACGAACGGTGATAGTCCGATCTGATATCTACTCTGTACGCTGTGACAGCTGTCGATGACGACCACACGTGCGGCGTCTCCCGCAGAAGGATCATGAGATCAGTCTTTAGAATGACGTCGCAGCTGTCACATGCCTGTCCGTTGACACATCCTATATCAGTGGCTGCATACTCGTGTATAGCCGCTGTAGCGTCGAAACATCTGATGCCTGTCTGGGCTTCAGAGGGCTAAATCTGACACCATTCCTCATCAGTCGTACGGTGCATCACTGCATGCAGTCCGCCGTCTTCTTCTACGCCAAAACCCACCATATTGCATTGGTCTCAGCGTCCAGGCAAAACTTCGGCCACCTTCAGACCCATCCCGAGTTATAGAGTCGAGACAGCGGGCCGATGCCGAATTTTCTCGGTCGGCTTGAGGTAACCGGCCCGCCTGCCGGGCAGAGAGGTCTTGGCTAGCCGGTGAAGCTCCGACGGGACAGTAAGAAATGGACGTTGAAAAATGGAAAAGAAAAATCTGCAAGCACACACCGAATACCGAAACAATTGGTTGGTTTGATTAGGTGGAACAAATATGCGAATGAGAATGAAGGTTAGTCATCGTGTTGCTATAGGTTGAGTGCCAAGTGTTAATGGTACTCAACATTAAGTAATAGGAAATATATGATGAGCTTTTGACATGATCAGACGTAGGAGTGCTGTGATGTAGAGAAGCTTGCCAGTAAAATGCGAAGTGTGTAGACCAGTGTTATACCAAAATTCCAGGGCTGGCTACACAGGAGGAAACAGGTCGGGAAGCCGAGAGCTTAAGTACAACAGACTCGGCACGCCGGTGCCGATAGAGCTCGGTGTATGCCGGAGGGCCCGGAAGTAGTCACGAGGCAGAGAAAGGAATAGAATCACGACGCGCCTCAGGGGCAAGATTCCACAGAGATCTTATTATAGCCTGAGACTGGTCTAGATGCTTCAATAAATTAATTCATGCAGTGACGTGGGAAATCTGAAAGATACCTTGTCATTGGATGCATGTTCCCTAAAACAAGGCATGTAGAGTATAGGGGACTGTGATGAAGTCATCAGCCATGCTAGGAGTACGGCAATGATGCACAGTACAATAAAGGGGGAAAGAGATCCATTTTACGATTTCTTCGAGAGTTGAAACTACAACCCAGCTTCTACTGCGCAGTACGTTGCGTATCTTCAGTGTGACAGTCATGTCTCCGTTTGAGCTCTATTCATGCCTTCGAAAACAGAGCCGGGCGTCTCAGTTAGTTGTATTTCATGACTACTTCCTAAGCGCGGGGTCCTAAGATTGAATTATATCATGTTCTTCAAAAGCATAAAAGCGTAAATTGCACTTGAGTTCAAAATGGACGTTGTCGACGACGCATTACTAGTCAAATCACATTGCAAGAAACCAGATGAATGACAGATATTTATCAGCAAACTTAATCACCACAGCGGTATTCATGATGCGGTTTTTGAAGCAGAGGCTTCCTGCTTCCGAGACTGCTTATCTCGTGCATTTGCCTACTAGCAACTATAGAGCATGACGGGTGCTGGATCAACAAAGAAATTCGCCATTTCGAAGGCTTGCGGGAAAGCGCTACGGCCACCAGATAACTGCGCATTGGTAATATATGATTGAAGATCGTCAGCCTTACATCCCAGATCAGCTTCATGCGATTCGAGACCCTAAAGAATTGATGCCTTGCCGCCTGAAAGTTCTGGCCATCGTCCCTAGCATCGTTTGCATAGTTTGCAATTCACTCGGCAATGTTTCTCTCTTTGCTAACCTATATTCTTCTTTCATTGAGCTGAGACACATTCAGCATTCCATATTTGGAAATGTATGCAGAATGTCTCTGCATGTTTACTATTCTTGTCGACCAGCCCTTGTTCCATTCGTTCTGGAAAGCGTGTGTCACAACATCGTGCCCCTTGCTTGGCTTGTTACATGAGTCTTAAGATTCAATTCATGTTTCTGCAAGTCTAGGCCCAATAATGTCTGAAGTTGTATTAACTCGATACTTTTAATTAAACATTGCAATCCAGACTGCATATGCAAGGGGAAGAGAAGGGAAGAAAAAATGTTCATCTGATGTGTTGCCACCTACATACTTGATATGCAAATCGGACTCTCCGCTGTCTATTTTGAAGTCCCCGATCCAGCCAGCCCCAGAAGAATGAAGAGCTGCCAAAACTACTTCAGAAATGATTCACCTCATGGGGACCGCGAGTCAATATACGTAGATCAATTGTAGGGGATGTCCGGCGCTATTCATTCCCAGATCATACCCGATCTAGAGAAATGAATTCCCAGAGAATTTAAAGGGGCTTTAAGGGGGCACCCTTTGTGTTGCCGTGAAATGTTCTCGGGAAAATTGTTAGTAGGTTGTTTGTTCCACCATGAACGTTGTACCAACCGACTGGAACTTGGCAGCTGCCGCAACAAAGTCGGCCGAGAAACACGGTCGCCCGAATCGGATCCCCGCAATGGTTCCCCAGGCTTCGCGGTTTAGCACATCAACTCCCGTTCTTTATCGTTTATCCGACCAACGAGTGCCCTCCGATTGCTGCGAGCCCCATTTCAATTCGCTGTCCATTATCCCGAGGTCCATTCATGCGGTCAGCCTAAGCCCATCTTGTAACCTCGTCTCTTGAATTTCTGGGACAAGACTTTTACTATCTCGCCCACATATATAACTTCCTTGGGACCTCCGGTTTCTCTTCTACCCTTCGATCAGTTCGTCTTGCCACGGAAACAATTCCTACCACTTTTTTTTTTTTTCATTTCCCTTCCAAGATGAGCAAAGGCAAGCTCACCGGCGCTGATGTCGCCCAGCACAACTCCCGCGACTCTTGCTGGGTCATTGTCCACGGAAAGGCGTACGATGTGACCGAATTCTTACCAGGTATAGTACATTGCGGATCTTCAGGCTTGGAGTTATCTAACGGTAGCAACAGAACATCCCGGTGGCCAGAAGATCATCCTGAAGTACGCAGGCAAGGATGCGACCGAGGAATTCGATCCCATCCACCCTCCGGACACCCTAGACAAATACCTCGATGGCTCTAAGCACCTGGGCGAGGTCGACATGAGCACCGTCGAACAAGAAGAAAAGGTTGCCGACCCCGAAGAAACAGAGCGGCAAGAACGGATCAAGCGGATGCCCCCGCTGCAAGCATGCTACAACTTGATGGACTTTGAGGCCGTCGCACGGGATGTGATGAAGAAGACCGCTTGGGGGTACTACTCCAGCGGTGCCGATGATGAAATTGTAGGTGGCGACATTACAGATCACAATATACCAACAGGCTAATTCGACCGCTCTAGACTATGCGTGAAAACCACTCTGCCTTCCACAAGATCTGGTTCCGTCCTCAGATTCTTGTTGACGTGGAGAATGTTGACTTCTCCACGACCATGCTCGGAGCGAAAACATCGATTCCCTTCTACGTGACCGCCACTGCCCTCGGAAAGCTGGGTAACCCTGAGGGTGAAGTGGTGCTCACTCGCGCTGCTCACGACCACGATGTCATCCAGATGATCCCCACATTAGCTTCCTGCTCCTTTGATGAGATCGTCGACGCCAAGAAGGGTGATCAGGTACAATGGCTGCAGCTTTACGTGAACAAGGACCGCGAAATCACCAAGCGCATTGTCCAGCACGCTGAAGCCCGCGGCTGCAAGGGTCTATTCATCACTGTAGATGCCCCTCAACTCGGCCGTCGTGAGAAGGATATGCGTTCCAAGTTCTCCGAGGAGGGCTCCAACGTCCAAGCCAGCGGAGGCGATGCTGTTGATCGCTCCCAGGGTGCCGCCAGAGCCATCTCGTCGTTCATCGACCCTTCTCTTTCCTGGAAGGACATCCCTTGGTTCCAGTCCATCACAAAGATGCCCATCGTCCTAAAGGGCGTCCAGCGCGTCGAGGACGTCCTCCGTGCCGCCGAGATGGGCCTGGACGGTGTTGTCCTCTCCAACCACGGCGGTCGCCAGCTGGATACCGCGCCCTCTGGCATCGAAGTCCTCGCAGAGGTCATGCCCATCCTCCGGGAGCGCGGCTGGGAAAACAAGATCGAGGTCTTCATTGACGGTGGTGTCCGTCGTTCCACGGATATTCTGAAGGCCCTGTGTCTAGGCGCCCGTGGTGTAGGTATCGGACGGCCATTCCTGTACGCCATGTCCACGTACGGGCAGGCCGGTGTGGACCGCGCGATGCAGCTCCTCAAGGACGAGATGGAAATGAACATGCGTTTGATTGGAGCCACTAAGATTGCAGACCTCAACCCCAGCCTAATCGACGTGCGTGGCCTGAGCAGCGGTCACCATGCTTCTGTTCCCTCCGACACCTTGACCCTCCGTGCCTATGATCCTCTCCAGGCCCCTCGGTTTAGCGAGAAGGCTAAGCTGTAGTGGTTGAAGGTTCTCTTCATCTTTGCGCCTCTGGGCTTCTTGGCCTCCTTTCCTTTTGCATGTCCTTCTCATGAACCTTGTTTTGCGGTTATGTTGTTGACGGTCGTTGGTTGATAGATTCGCCACCTTGCCGATTGTATATACCCCATCGTCAGATTTGGACCGACGATATATGATGGCGATTCCTGTACATTTAGTGAAAAGACGTTACACACTACCAGACATATAGACATGATGTCTGGGTTATAAATATAAACACAAAGAATAGATCCCAAATTTGAATAACTTTTATTATCTGCTTTCAACTAGTCCCATACAAGAATTAAGAATAATTATAAGATGTAACGCCGCTAAAACACCATGCATAGCGCACCAAACGACCCTATGTACATGCACACGTCAAACATTACCTCCCCAGGCTATTTACAACCCCCAAGAACAAGACCGACATAAGTCTATCGGCCTTATAAAACCACAACCTGCGGCTTATTTGACAACCCTTTCGAATCACGAGACATGCAAGCTGCATTCACCATCCATCCGCAGCCGCGATTTTCACCACCCCAAACCTTAGCCCACACCACTCCCAAAACACCATATACTACGACCCGGGTCGAGTCAACCCATCCGGAAATATCAAACAGATCTCGGAGGAAGCCAAAGAGCGAGCTGAACCGGCCGTTACGGGCCCGTCGTCGCCGCGACGCACAGAGTCGTTCCCACGCTTTCTGCGCCTCATCCCAGTAGACTGGCTCCATGCCGTAACCAGCGTGGATGTGCCCAAATACGTGGAGGGCGGGCTGGACGCGCCATGCTTCTGTGAGGAGGAATGGGCAGCCGGTGGAGTAGACGGGGGAGAGATCGAGATGGGATTGTGGTGGGGTGTGGGTGACAAGGATGTCGGTGTTTAGGGGCACGGTGCCTGACCAGGCGTCGTAGTGGGGTGGGTAAGTGAAGGCATGTTCGGGGCCGAAGGGGACAAGGGCGGGGATTTGAGGGGCGCCGTAGATGGTGAGGGAGCGGGCGCGAGATCCGGCGGGTGAAGGTGGGGGGAAGGAGATGGTGACCGCGGAGTGTTGGAGGTAGTGGATGTCGCCCCAGTCGATGCGGTGGGGACTTTCGAGGTCATCGATGGAGCGAAGAGAGGCTGTGGAGGAGGAGACCGTTGCGAAAGATTTGTCCCGGTCTTCTTCCAGTCGTGACCGTACGTCAAAGTAGCTGTCATGATTGCCACAAATGACTACTTTGTGGGGATGTGGTAGTCCTTGGAGCCAGTCTACCGCTGCTTGGATCTCGCGCACGCTGCCATCATTGCATAGATCACCAGCGTGAATTAAAAGGTCACCGTCTGGCACATCGTCCCACTCGAGGGTGTGGGTGTCGGAGATGCAGACTACTCGGATGGGGTGGGCGTCTGGTGGAGGTAATCGAGGTGGTCCGCGGAGTCTGAGGAGAATGTGGTGGAGAGGATAGAGGAAGGCGGCAAGTGGGGAGGCGAGGAAGTAATCTGGTATAGGACGGCGATGGTAGGGGGAGGTCATGGTTGAGGAGGCGTTAGGGTGCAGAGGGCAAGTGTAGGCCGGGGGAGACCCGAAGGTAGTCTTTATCCTCGACTGCTGGCCTTCCTTGCCTGAGGTGGAGAAATTGTTCTGCGGAGGTCACTGACGTTGTCTACCGTTCAGCCAATCAGAGGCTTTGTCACCTGCATGAGATCACTAACTTCAACTTCGTTGGCATTCTTTACCACCAATGCCAGCACTTTATGGTTAGATATTAAGTTTTATGTGATGATGTGGATATATTCTTGAGTATCCATGTGTTCTTGCTTGACTTCCATAATCTTTTAATATTTCACAGCTCAGCTTATAAAGCCAGATGTTTCATTCGGCACAATATCATCTGCGGGGAAACGGCATCCGTAGTAACTACTAACTACTAGTATATACATTACCTCACCCGCCTTGAACCTAACTACTAGTACAGTCTTCCTCTAATAGATCTATGCTCTACCCCGGGGCTATATCATGAAGTGTTCCCATTTATAATTCTTGTCTTAATTTACATGAATTAAGGAGCCTTGCTCCGCTACTTTTGAAGTTATACGATATTGTGACTTTCCAAGACAGTCATCTGATTGATTGGGTTGGCTTTGTCGTCCAAGTCCTTATTGGTGCTTATCAATCAAAGACACCGAGATGTCACATTAAGAACTTCTTAGATGACATGCCATCACAGAACAAGTATCAGACCATGTTTACCCATGGAGACCTATGCCTCGCGAATTTCATGCTCAACGATGGAAATGTCACTGGAATTATGGACTGGGAGTCTGTTGGTATCCCGAATACTGGCAGTTCTCAAAGGCTCTCGCAGTCTAGATATAGCAAAATGGTTGGTCCGGCTAACTACAGCAGACCATGAAAGCATATTACTCTGAATCAGCATTCTTGACTCCAACACTGGAGTGATATTCTGTCATGTTATTGCTATCATCTCAGCTGCGGCCGGAGCGCCACCAACGCAAGTAGTCTTTTACCTCCATGGTCAACGCGTATGTACTACTGCTTCATATCCCTAACCACCGTCCTAAGAAACTTCACCATGATAAATTCATAGAAAACGCTGTACATGGCTGATTACGTCAGCCATGGAGATTGATCTTTATACTTGTACATATTAGGAATAGTGATTACCGGTCCTATCTACCGCTAATCATATCGGTTAGGCGGTCTTTTGTTCTGCCCGCTTAAATCCAACCTCTCCATCTCACTCTAACTCCCCCCGTCTTTTAGTTGCTGCTTTATTCTTGTTGCCTATCTCATCTTGTACAGTATTATTCTGGTGTGCATCTCTCATTATGGATGGATCTGACTCTGTTGAGTCGCGGTGGCTTACGCAACTGGCTGCCATGCGGCAGGCCATTGCAGAGCTAAAGCTTCCGAAAGACCCCGCTACAGACCAGCTTGGCTATGGCAGTGACTTGGATCTAGATCTTGACGAGGATTATTCTTCGCCCGGTACTGTCGACGATATTTGGGATGTCATCAGCTCCGATGATGAGTCTAGTGCTGATTTCGAGGAGCTCGATGGTTTTGCTTCTCCCTCAGCGTCGTCTTATGACCAGTTTTGGCTAGAGCAGAAATGCCAGAGCCTAACATCTCAAAAGCCCGGGCTGAGTGCCAATGAGCTAGCCCAACAGATCACAGCTGCGCTAGCGACCGACAGCGGAGACGACGAACTGCAAATGTCCCTGGCTGAGATTGTTGGGTTCGACGACCTGGACTTCGTGATTGAGTTGATCGCACACCGGACGGAAATCCTCAGGAGCGTTCACACTGGCCCAGAGGCGCAAACAGACGGTCTTTTCTCAGGAAGGTTGCAGACAAGGGCAGAACGGGAACAGGCTCTGCGGCAGCAGGACTTCGAACACAAGAATGCTCCATTAATGCCGGCGCAAACGAGACAGGAGCCACAGTATCCCCATGTTTTTAAGTCGCATGACAATAGGAACGTACTTTCGTTTAGTGGAAAGAAATATGGGCTGCCTCTTGGGAGCAAGCAGATAGATGAGCAGAAATACACCGAAGTGGAGGTTCCAGCATCCAGGGTAGGCACTTTGGGAGCCACGCAAAAGCTGGTGCAAATATCTTCATTGGATGGTCTATGTCAAGGCACCTTCAAAGGCTACAAATCACTGAACAGGATGCAAAGTTTGCTGTATGAAGTTGCTTACAAGACAAGCGAAAACATGCTTATTTGTGCTCCAACTGGTGCTGGTAAGACAGACGCCGCGATGCTGACGATCCTCAATGCCATTGGCAAGAATACTATTCCGAACCCTGTTGAACAACCAGAGGCAACAGAGTTTGCCGTTCAGGTAGATGACTTCAAGATTGTTTATGTGGCTCCGATGAAAGCGCTGGCTGCTGAAGTCACTGAGAAGCTTGGGAAGCGATTGGCCTGGCTCGGAATCCAGGTCCGTGAACTGACTGGTGACATGCAACTGACGAAGCGCGAGATCGTAGAAACACAAATTATTGTTACCACCCCTGAGAAATGGGATGTGGTAACACGGAAGAGCACTGGAGACACTGAGCTTGTGCAGAAAGTACGGTTGCTGATCATCGATGAGGTTCATATGCTCCACGACGAACGTGGTGCCGTTATCGAATCTTTGGTAGCCCGTACCCAGCGTCAGGTCGAAAGTACGCAATCACTCATTCGTATCGTTGGTCTTTCTGCCACTCTACCCAACTACCTCGATGTTGCCGATTTCCTCAAGGTGAATAAGATGGCTGGTCTATTCTACTTTGACAGTTCGTTCCGGCCTGTTCCTCTTGAGCAACACTTCATTGGCGTTAAAGGAAAGCCTGGCTCCAAACAATCGCGAGAAAACATCGATGTTGTATCTTACGAGAAAGTGCGCGATATGCTTGAGAGGGGACATCAGGTCATGGTCTTCGTGCATTCGCGGAAAGATACTGTCTTAACTGCTCGAATGTTGAAACAAATGGCTGCTGATGAGGGCTGTGAGAATCTCTTCAGCTGCCAAGATCACGAAAATTACTCAAATGGGCTTAGGGATATGAAACATGCTCGTGCTCGTGAGTTGCGGGATCTGTTCGCCAGTGGTTTTGGAACTCATCATGCTGGAATGAGTCGGAGCGACCGCAATTTGATGGAACGTATGTTCTCCGAAGGTCTGATTAAAGTTCTTTGCTGTACCGCTACACTGGCATGGGGTGTCAACCTTCCTGCTGCTGCGGTTGTTATTAAGGGCACACAATTATACAATCCCCAGGAGGGAAAGTTCGTTGATCTTGGCATTCTCGATGTCCTTCAGATCTTTGGTCGTGCTGGTCGTCCCCAGTTCCAAGATACTGGCATCGGCTTCATCTGTACCACACATGATAAGCTGCACCATTATCTCTCTGCAGTGACATCTCAACAGCCGATCGAGTCTCGTTTCTCCAGCCGACTTGTAGACAATCTAAATGCCGAGATTTCTCTTGGCACGGTCACGTCCGTCCCAGAAGCCGTGCAGTGGCTAGGATATTCTTACCTCTTTGTGCGCATGAAGCGTGAGCCTAGGAATTATGGCATCGAGTGGGCTGAGATACGTGACGACCCCATGTTGGTGCAAAGGCGTCGCCAATTGATCATTCAGGCTGCCCTCGTATTGCAAAAAAGTCAAATGATCATCTTCAACGAACGGACAGAGGAACTTCGAGCGAAGGATGTGGGGCGCATTGCAAGCCAGTACTACGTTCTGCAGAACAGTATCGAAATTTTCAACGAATTAATGCGTGCCGAAGCAGGAGAAGCAGACGTGCTGAAAATGATCAGCATGAGTGGTGAATTCGACAATATCCAATCGAGAGAAAATGAGTCAAAGGAGCTGAACAGGCTACGGGAAGAAGCCGTTCAGACAGAAATAGAGGGTGGAAATGATTCTGCTCATGCAAAAACCAACATTCTGCTACAGTCCTATATTTCGCGTGCTAAGGTTGAAGATTTCGCATTGGTATCGGACACCGGCTATGTTGCACAAAATGCAGCTCGTATATGCCGCGCTCTTTTTATGATTGCATTGAACCGACGTTGGGGTTACCAATGTCAAGTTTTGTTGTCAATGTGCAAGTCCATTGAGAAGCAGATCTGGCCTTTCGATCACCCATTCCATCAGTTTGATCTTCCCCAGCCTGTCCTCAGAAATCTGGATGAGAGGCTGCCCAGTTCCTCTATAGAATCGATGAGGGATATGGATGTTGCAGAGATCGGACAACTGGTTCACAACCAGAAAATGGGCAAGACTCTAGCAAAATTATTAGACAATTTCCCTACCCTCAGCGTGGAGGCTGAAATCGCACCGCTGAACCGCGACGTCCTGCGCATTCGCCTATGCCTCTATCCCGAGTATACTTGGAATGACAGGCATCATGGAGCTTCAGAGTCCTACTGGATCTGGGTAGAGAACTCGGAAACTTCCGAGATCTACCATCATGAGTATTTCATCCTCAGCCGGAAGAAACTTCATGACGAGCACGAGCTCAACTTCACCATCCCACTTTCGGACCCATTACCAAGTCAAATTTATGTCCGTGCGATATCAGATCGATGGTTAGGTGCAGAAACTGTAACTCCAGTCTCATTCCAACATCTTATTCGTCCCGACACAGAGAGCGTTTATACAGACCTTCTGAACCTCCAGCCACTGCCTATTTCTGCCCTCCAAAATCCCATTCTCGAGGAACTCTATGGACAGCGATTCCAGTTCTTTAACCCGATGCAAACACAGATTTTCCACCTTCTCTATCACACTTCTGCCAACGTCCTCCTAGGCTCCCCTACTGGAAGTGGAAAGACGGTGGCTGCAGAGCTGGCTATGTGGTGGGCTTTTAGAGAAAAGCCTGGATCAAAGGTTGTGTACATCGCACCGATGAAAGCACTCGTCCGTGAGCGAGTCCACGATTGGAAAAAGCGCCTCACAGGTCCTATGGGCCTGAAGTTGGTCGAGTTGACCGGTGATAATACTCCGGACACGCGAACCATTCGAGATGCAGACATCATTATCACAACCCCTGAGAAATGGGATGGTATCTCTCGTAGTTGGCAGACCAGAGATTACGTTCGCAAGGTCAGCTTGGTGATCATTGATGAAATCCACTTGCTAGGCGGTGACCGAGGACCTATTCTTGAGATTATTGTATCTCGAATGAATTACATTGCTTCGCAGTCTAAGGGATCCGTTCGGCTGATGGGTATGTCTACTGCTTGTGCAAATGCCACCGATTTGGCGAATTGGCTGGGTGTGAAAGAAGGACTGTACAATTTCCGGCACTCGGTGCGTCCTGTGCCTCTCGAGATTTACATTGATGGCTTCCCTGAGCAACGTGGATTCTGTCCACTCATGCAGTCTATGAACCGACCAACTTTCCTAGCTATCAAAAACCACTCTCCAGAAAAGCCCGTGATTGTTTTCGTTGCTTCTCGTAGGCAAACCCGTCTAACTGCCAAGGATCTGATCAATTATTGCGGAATGGAGGATAATCCTCGTCGATTTGTTCGCATGTCGGAGGATGATTTGGAGTTGAATCTCGCGCGAGTCAAAGACGATGCATTGCGGGAAGCGCTCAGTTTCGGCATCGGTCTGCACCATGCTGGTTTGGTGGAATCTGATCGTCAGCTAGCCGAGGAGCTTTTCGCAAACAACAAGATACAGATTCTTGTCGCGACTAGTACACTGGCATGGGGTGTTAACCTTCCAGCACACCTTGTAGTTGTCAAAGGAACCCAGTTCTTTGATGCAAAGATCGAGGGTTATAGGGACATGGACTTGACTGACGTTCTGCAAATGCTGGGTCGTGCAGGTCGTCCGCAGTTCGACTCGTCTGGTATTGCTCGAATTTTCACTCAAGATTCAAAGAAAGCCTTTTACAAGCATTTCTTGCACACTGGGTTCCCAGTAGAATCCACTTTGCACAAAGTCCTCGATAACCACTTGGGGGCTGAAGTTTCTGCAGGAACAATCACAACAAAACAGGATGCACTGGATTACCTGACGTGGACGTTTTTCTTCCGGAGACTGCATAAGAACCCTTCATACTATGGCTTGGAGATCTCGGCCGAGGAGCACAACACTATCGCCGCTCAGACTATCGCCCAAGATTTCATGATTGACCTGGTCGATAAGTCGCTCGGCGAGCTAGCAGCGTCGTCATGTGTTGTGCTTGATTCCACGACAGGTGAAGTTGACCCGACACCATTTGGCAAGGTGATGAGCTACTACTATTTGTCACACAAGACAATTCGATACCTCATGGCACATGCAAAGCCGAATCCTACATTCCATGATGTCTTGAGCTGGATGTGTTCCGCGACAGAATTCGATGAGCTGCCTGTTCGACATAATGAAGATCTCATTAACGCAGAGTTGGCTCAAAACCTACCGCTATCTGTTGAATCAATGGGAGACCTACCAATGTGGGACCCCCACGTGAAAGCGTTCTTATTGCTTCAAGCCTACATGTCGCGAATTGATCTTCCGATTTCCGATTATGTCGGAGATCAGACCTCTGTTTTAGATCAGGGCATCCGTATTCTGCAAGCTTCGATTGATGTCATGGCCGAATTAGGCTACCTACATGCTTGTCAAATGCTCATGTCCCTTCTTCAATGCATTAAGTCAGCTAGGTGGCCTGAAGATATCCCACTGTCGATTCTTCCAGGCGTTGGTGTTGGCGCCAGAGCACCCTTCCTCCCAGGTTCCCTCGCTGCACTCTCATCTCTACCTACGGGTGCCGTTTCAATTCTTTCTAAGAAACTACAGCTTTCTCCTTCCCAGGCCGCCCAATTTACCAAAGCTGCCTCCTATCTGCCGAATCTGTCGGTATCAGTCTCCAAGGTCTCGTCAATTGGTATTAGTGTGTCCTTGACCAGGCGCAACCCTGCAATGGACTCGGGATACAGGATCTACGCACCTCGATTCCCAAAGCCACAAACAGAAGGTTTCTTCTTGATTGTCTGCAGTGCAGCCTCAGACGGTAAAGACGGAGAACTACTTGCTCTGAAGAGAATCTCCTGGCCTCCTGTCGAGAAGCAGCGCAACTACCGTGGTAATAATAACGCCGGATCGCAGCGCAACGACCGCGGCAACAATAACGCCGGATCGAGCAAGCCCGCAGAGAAGAACAATCATAGAGGTGGCCCTCCTCTCACAATCCGGTCGTCTGTCAAATTCCCAGATACGGCAGCTAAGAATGGCATCAAGGTCAAGGTCATCAGCGATTCGTATCCTGGCATGGAATGGACGCTACCAACCGTGGAAGTGGATATGGGTCCTGAAAAACAGGTTGTGCAAGAGTCGGCCAATTACCCAGAGAAGAGTTGAATGGTTTTCTATACATAGAGATAGAGGTTTAAATAGAAGTCTATGAAACAATTCAAATTGGGTGATCTAAAGCCAAAATACGCGAACAAATGGGAGTATATAAAATGCACGGAATGGATGAACCTAACCGGAGAGAAAAATGTAAAACACCTAATCATCGTCCACTACTCCTGTCCTTTTAAAGATAATCCAAGCTCTCATGAGAAGAAATGCAAAAGAAGATCCGGCTCTCGCTTTCGGCGCCGCCAAAAAAAAGAAGTCATGAAGTTAGAAAAGAAAGACTGAACGCGAGGCTGTGCTCAAGAGGAATGAAAGGAAAGGCAAATCGCCGTCAATGACGTAACGAATACGCCTAGTATAAACCAGAAAAGAAAAGAAGAATAAAACCCATCAGTCGCAATGCTGGTTTCCAGGGCAATCAGAGAGATACGGAGCAAAAGGGTCGTGAAAATAGAAGACCAAACCAAGTCGCTACTCAGGCGCCAGATGCAACAGGAGAAAGGCAGCAAGTGTTAATCCCAAGCACATCATACACTTTCAATACGAGCATCCTGAGAATTGCCATGTCGATGACCGTACTGCCCATCCACCATTTGGGGAGTTCTAGCCCGGGGAGTAAGACGGTCTGGCCGCCGTCCCACCGGGACCAAGACTTGCTTCCTCTTTGATACGGAAACAGATCTTGCGATGGAGATCTCGATGGTCGGGAGGGGATCGGCCGGCTCTGGGTCTTGCTCGTCGTGCTCCTGTTCGGCTTCTGACTCCAGTTCCTCATCCGGGATGGGATCTGCGAGCTCATGCTCATCCGTCGTCTTGTCGTCTTCTTCAGGTTTGGTTTCGTTGGCGAGGGGCATTCGGATGGTGTCTGCTGGTGAGACGGCAGATTTATTACTATCCGAGGGCGATAACGGAGAGAATCTTTGTTGGACGGCGGCAAGAGGCGAGAGGATCGGAGATGATGCCGTCGACTCACTGTTCACTAGCTCCGGCGATAGTTCTTGGGTGTTGAGGGAAAGCGCTGGGGTTGACTTCTGCGATTTTGTTTCGTCTGCAGATGGTTTCCGCTTGTTGATCATCTCCCATTCTGGCTCGCCTTTGGGGTCGACGTAGGTTTGGACTGGCTTGAGTTTTTGCAGGAGGAATTTTTCGTCTTCTGAGTTGATGGTTGTGCTTGAAATAAATGAGGATACTGAGTCTTGGGGTTTGTGGGAGCTTCTTGTGTCGCTGTGAATCATGAGGAGAATGTGATCTTGTTCATTGGACAAATCTTCCTGCCGTGACTCTGCTCTGGATACTTGGTTTCGGAGTAAGGGACTGGGGCCCGGGGGAGGTTTTGCGTGCCTAGCACCTTGGAAGCTTTGCTCTTGTGTGTTGCTGGGAATAGTGAGAGTCTTGGGGAGTTTGAGCGTGTAGGCGAGGTGGCCCTTCGTCGGGGCGGGGGCAGATCTGGTGATGGCGGCGATGCCTGGTGTGGGTTTAGTATTTGGTAGGTGATGTATACCGCAGGGGATGTTGAATGATTTACCTCGGTGTTGGGAGCGCTCATGTTTTCTAGGGTTCTGCTGCGTCTGTTCAACGGGGAAGGCTCGTTTTTGTTGAGTAGAGCGCTGAACATAACGCTGTATCGTTCCAACTCAACACTTGGGATGTCAACCTGCAGTAGAGGTCCCGATTTCGACTCTGCAGGCCGTTGTCTATCCTGAGCTGGCACCTGTGCGACACTGGCATTTTGCTGCTTCTCTTCGGCCTTGACCTCCGGCTCAAGACACGGCCACACCTCCGTATCCATGACATGGTTGGATTTCGCCTCGCGGGCCTGATAGTCAATGGAATGCGAAGAGCCCTGTGCAAGAGGCGCCTGACTACCTTGAACCTGGACCTGGTAAAAAGGCTGGCTTGCGCCCGACGCAACAGCATTCCTCGCCTTGAACAACCCGCCGATTTTCCTCCACTTGCTCGGCTTCCGCTGGATCTGCGGGGCTGCTTTGGGGCGTTCGCGCGCAGACTCCAGCGCTTTCTCTTGCATCTGGGAAAAGGTGTTCTGTGGCTCCACCAAACGGGGACTACCTAGAGCGATCCCGATCATATTTTCTTCCGAGCCATTTTCGCTGTTTGTCGGCGATTGTATCGCGTCAGCTGGAGGCACCGCTATGCGAAAATCGAACCCAGGCCCGGGTATTTCTACCCTCCTGCCCTGTTGACCTGCGTCTGATGTCCGGGGGCGCTGGGTGTCGCAGTTAGCCTGCTGCATCGGCCGATGGTGCGTTGTGCTACCATTTTTCAGGGCCTTGAGGTCATTTCGTGGTACTGCGTCTGTATGCTTAAAGATGGGATTGGAAATGTCTGTCTCCCGTGGGGCACGGGGTTTCCCCAGAAAGAGACCTCGGGCCATTTGCGCAATTTTGCGGCTCAGCGATGCTGAATTTTAATGATAGTATGAGCTGATGGATTCAGACAAAGAAATGACTTCAAATAAAGAAACTAAACGAGTGAAAGGGTGTGAAGGTAAGCTGACATGAGACTCTATCTCAGCATCGGACACGAAGATAATAATAACAATAAAAAAAGGAACGGACAGCCTTCCAGAAGGCCCTGAATGGTGAAACAGCACACGAGAGAAAGAAAAGAGCCAGTCAGTCCATGATAAAAGGAAAAGGAGGGTTCAAGGATGAGGAGGGTTTGGACGCAGTGGAGATTGTCGCAGAGTTATGGATCGATCTAATCAGACACGGGTTGGCCAAGTGTCGCAATTTAATTTCCAGTAGATTGGACGAAGAGAGATCTTCTCAAACAAACCAACGAAAGTCTCAGACCGATGCTGTGGCCGTTGATCAAGCGCCGGGGCGCTTGAGTCCAAACTGTCACAAAGAGGTCCCTCAGCCCCTCCATTGGACCACGCATGGGAGGAACGTGGACGGCCTGGTGCTCATGGCCTTCATGGACTGGTAGCGGTGGATGGAGTCCCTCATTCCCGCGTACCCTATCACGATGCTTATCTGGAAGGTTGCAAATGAGCGTTGATGCTGCGAAATTAAGGGAGGGCATCGTAAGTGACCCACTCGAGTGACCTTTCTTACCCTAGATCAGTCTAGCGGGAGGTGCATGATTGGACTCTCATCTCCCGTGCCCTAACTGCCAGATTAGCGTCAAAGCGTCGGCGGAGACTTTCGTTTGCGTTATAGCCTCACTCCGTCATTTAAAGAGTAATGGGTGGATATCCTGACTCAGAGGTAGACACAATGAAGATCTTTGGTCCAACACAGTTGGGCTGGAGGCGGCAAGTCTCCGTAGTAACGTGATGCTGATTATCCGCATTGGTAAGATACAAAGACTCATATAGAACAACCGGGAGAGGCAATAAAAAAATTAAATGGCAAAAAGATATGGGGCGAGCCGGGATCGAACCAGCGACCTCCCGATCACCAGGTGGTGTTTGAGATGAAGTTGAAACTTCAGTCGAGCGCTCTCCCAACTGAGCTATCGCCCCATTAGATGTTAATTTGGCTCAAATTATTGCATTATCAAAATTTTCCATATATCTAAGGTACAATATGACTGAACATTGGTTTGTAAAAGCAAGCCGGAACAGAACCAATATGTAGTACTCTCATATAGCCAAATAATATCGAATCCTGTGCACCAGAATATAAGACAGATCAGAATTCTCATCTGCAGAATCCACCCAAGTTATTTCATAATCACCGACATTCATGTCTTTTTCATTCATATATTCCTTCCTCAAACATTTCTCTCCAGGGCATTACTACTACTCCTACTCCGCCAAGTTCATTTTCTCGATTGCCGTCTCCACGGCTGCCTCCTTCTCCTTCGCCTTTTTCTCCTCATAGACTTATATTAGCTTGACAATGTCTTTTCAAATAACAACTGCATTCAATCGGCATTCTTGGCCCGTTGGGCCCGCCTTAGCCTGGCCTTCTTTGACTTTGACAGCCCGGGAGCAGGGGCGACAGGAGGCTGGCTGGGGTCGGTGGTGGTTGTGGCGCCAGCAGCACCAGCACCTGCAGCAGGAGCCGCAGTCTAGATTAAATAATGTTAGCAAGAAGAAACCCTCTCCTACCTATGTTAACTTACCCTCTTTCTCGTTTTGCCCCGCAGCTGTCTGCTCCTGCTGCTGCTGCTGTTGGTTTGCATACGCAAACTTCCAGAGCAATAAGTACAAAATAGTACATGAGAACTGGAAAACTTATCCCAGTGAAAACCCCCTGACTATGGTGAAAAGCGGAGCAGATGGACACATTCCCTGGATTTGAGGAAAGTAGGCGGTAGATTTGGATTGGCAGCATTGATTCGCAGGGCAGCAAGAGGCCAAAGCCTGACCACTCAAGGAGTGCTAGAAAAGGCACATGTAGGGGAACCCAATGGCTTTGTAAAGAACTCGATTGGGGTACTAAGTGGCCTGGGATTGGTATACCCAAAGGCCCCTAGTTGAAGGGTTCCAGTCCTCGGAGCAGGGCTCTAGATTAAGGTAAAGCATTGCAATGCCCTATATCCGTAATATCTGCAGTATACACACGGTTGCTGATATAATGAGCAATCGAGGCGTAAATTGCGCGGTTTATATTAAAAACCTTCATATAGACGGTTCAGACAAGCGTGGGGCTATATCCTAGAACCAAGTGCTTTATCATCTCGTAAGCCTCATCAGCGAGTTTAATGGATGGAACTAGTAATCAGCTCCTGTACAAGCGAAGGCTCTATCTATAGAACAAGCCAGCTTCTTAAAGGCAGTGAGATCTGTTCCCATTGACCATATTCAGCTAGGGTCGAGACACTTGAAAACAAGAAGTGTTCATAGGCAGTGAGCTTACAGCGAGTTTTGTGTGTAGAACCCCCAAAGTTCAAGGAGCGATTTTTCACGCATCCAGGAAGGCCATATATGCTGTCAGGGCATTTAGCAGGAATATGATCCACCAGATATGATCCACCAGAGTAGTACATAGTCAGGCCCTGCTGTACAGACCACCACTGAGTATAAAAAGAGATATCCTAGAGATGAGTATAAGTCTTAACTAGTATTGTAGTCCTGAGTTGTGTGGAAACTGCCCTATATATATACCACCTAAATGATTCACTGCTTGTTCAGAAATGAATTGTGAGCGGTTTCCTCAGTGGTTAGGTGACTTAATTAGAAGAATCACATTATAGAATTCAAGTATTCCATATTAACTAGATCTGTACTAGTTAATAGTCTGGGGTCTAAAACACCATTAATAACTGTCAGAGATTGAATAACCATTCAGTCTGATGACTGGACAGTATACCCTATCTCTGGTGTATAGACAATTCGGTGGCCAATCGGTAACAATGGAGTATGTATTCACTGCCTTTTCGATACCGATGAGTGGTCTTTATGCCTGGATAGGACTACAATTTGGGAATATTCTATAGGAATACATCTCCAAGAACCAGTCTCTTGTCTTGATTCTTCATCATCTCGTGCCAAAGGATTCCCATCTAGCTGACAGTTCCTCAAAGTTTATTATAAGCGGGGAAGAATCGGATTCTTCGATTTCGTATAATAAGCATAGAGATCTTATAAGCTGGATTTTAGAAGATCCAGAGATCCATGTACTCGTACGGCCTTTTGTGATGCCAGTGCAAAGTCCCATGATGTGCGCATAGGTCGGGGCATAGGGGAAGGAGAGGAGGAAGGGGACCACAGTAGATATCTACATGATACAAGTCGAGACAAAAGCTGTAGCTAGAGAGACGATTATTATAAAAGGCTTTTGCCAGATGACGAAGGCGAGGAAACATAATTCGATGACAGCACGCCTTGAATTTCTTTTTTTTTCTTTTGCGTAGCTCGCCGAAAATGAGAGTGCCACCACTACATGCACTGCACGAACAAGGTCATTTTCAAGAAAAGAATATATTGTTTATTACCAAAAGAGATCCTACTTTCATGGTGGTTGGTAATACAAAATTTTTATCTAGACAGACATTGTCTGTCCCTGGTAACATGCAGCTATACTAATCAAAACGCAATTACACCTCGTACTCTATAGTGCAAGCAAGGTCTGGGAAACTGGTGCTGCTGAATCCAAGCAAGTTAAGTCCTACACTTTATTTTTTTCCAAAAATAGCAACAACTCGCCCTTATAGCTCAGTGGTACGAGCGCATCACTCGTAGCCTGAGGCATCCATTGGAAGCCTTGAAAGCCATGAGGCATGATGAGGTCCGCGGTTCAATCCCGCGTGGGGGCAAGTTACTTTTTTGTTTTTTTACCATCGTTTAAGTGATGAATGAATGGACTGGAGTAGTTCCGCAACATCCTCAAATTGACGGTCCTAGCTAGTACAGATATTGTATATACCATGAATAGATTAGTGTTAATTCAGGAATGCGCATTGTTCGGCGGCACCTCTTCTTGTCGCAGCTCCCTTCACATATGCCCCATTGAGATCTCACCGCATACTCCCTCCCTCCCCATGGGGATAACAACACATTACTTCGGTGATCAACGATACGATCCGATCTAGGTAACTAATTGTATTGCTGCGTTGGAAACGAGAAAATATATTATAAATTACCCGACCCTACTTCCCAATGGCAACGAACAACCTATCGCCGATGTCACCTAAGCCAGGAACTATCATGCCTCGTTCATTGCATTTTTCGTCCACCGCCCCTGTCCAGAACTCTACTCCCCCAGGCCAAGAGTCTACAGCTCGACGAATGCCCGTCTCGGAGCCCAGTACACTCAGCATCACCACTCGCTTCACGCCCCACTCACGCAGAAGGTGAATTGCCGCTTCGGCCGTAGCGCCTGTGGCGACGATGGGGTCAAGAAGGATAGCTGTGTCAGCAGCGGCGGTGTTGGAGTCAGAGCCATCCTGGCGTTGGTAGGGGAGATTATTGTAATATTCGACGGGTTGAAGGGTGAACTTCTCGCGGAAGAGACCTAAATGGTAGATGGGAACCGGGGCCGGGAGCAGGCTGTTGATTGCTAAATAGTTGGACAGATAATCAGCATTGGGGCCTTTCGAGCGAGTCGGACAACGTACCCTCAGTCATGCCCAGTCCGGATCGAAGAATGGGTACCATGGCGACATTGGCGGGCTCAATATCTTGGGTATCATATTCGATACCTAACGGGGTTTGATCCTGGGAAGTGGATCAACGTCGTCGATCCGATACGATCAGGGGTGATCAATCCTTACCGTTCCCCGCTTTTTAGTTTTCAATACTGTTGAGAAGGCCTCCACACCTAGGATAGTTGTGATCTCATGGACAAGGCTCCTGGTTTCGCGGGTGGAGGTTTTATGGGACCGTAGCTGGGATATCTTGGCTTGTAGGCACGGGTGGGATGAGATATGGACATTCGGGGGAAGAGACATCGTGGTTGAGGTATTCTGGAATATCGTATGGTTCTCAAGGTCGTATGAAAAGAGGGAGATAAGGAGAAGGAAGCTTGTGAGGGGGGACAGAAGCAAGAAATATATACACAATCAGAGAAGTGAGGGGTCGGGGTGTGTCGTGTCACCTGCTCAGGTACTGTACGGTATGTGTGTACATGTACCTTGATGTCAGCGTCCCTTTCTTTTTCTCCGCTTCAAATTCCAAGTCCCTCTTCCTTACCTTGTCATTCCTTCTCTTCCTTCTCATTTCTGCTCTCTTTATCTTCACCTCTAGCCCCTCTCATTGTCGGTTATCAGGAGCTGATAAGCTATCAACAATCACTTATCAGCCGTCTATCCACAACCAAATCATTGTTTATCCACTAAGATACCCACATACTACCATGACCCACTCTCTCCATCCAATCTTCACTCCTTCCATGCTGACTTTTCACAGCTCCTAATTTTCCTTCCCAGCACTACCCTTCACGATAGAGATTATGTGAATCATATTGCGCATTGTCATTCGCCATGCAATCAACAAGCGCCATGCCTGCCAGCGACACCGAACAGATGCCTGAAACTCAAGCGCCACCTCCCACCACCGAGGAAGCTTCGCAGCGCCAAGCCTGGCCATCCGAAGGATATGGGCTTCCCACCAGTGACAAGCCTCCTTACGGCCCCGTTGAACCAACGCTCTCACGAAGGGAACCTGGCGCAAGACCCCTCTCCAAACATGCTACGCAGCTTTTTACCCTTTCATACCTGGTCTTCTTCGCCATTTTCGGCACTTTGGCGCGTCTCGGTCTCCAAGCCCTGACCATCTACCCGGGAGCGCCCGTGGTAACGGGCGTCCTCTGGGCCAACGTAGGTGGATCGCTACTAATGGGCTTCTTCCTCGAAGACAAGAACCTCTTCCGGGAAGAATGGGGCGATGTGGACCAAAACAACAACAACAATACCACGGGAGCCGACCCGAGCGCCGAATCGAAACGTCACAAGTCTGTTAAAAAGACAATCCCATTATATGTCGGCCTAACAACCGGCTTCTGCGGCTGCTTCACCTCCTTCTCAAGCTTCATCCGTGACATTTTCCTCGCGCTATCCAACGATCTGTCGGACCCCTCAGCCCCCAATGGTGGATACAGCTTCATGGCTCTGGTAGCTATCATCCTGACCACAGTCGCGCTCAGTCTCGGCGCGCTCATCTTTGGCGCCCATCTCGCTCTCGCTCTTGATCCCCTAACCCCATCCTTCCCATTCCGCTTCACGCGTCGATTCATAGACCCCCTTTTCGTCATCCTCGGCTGGGGATGCTGGCTGGGCGCCGTCTTCCTCGCAATCTGGCCCCCAGATCGCCATGATAATGGACCAGAGTTCTGGCGTGGTCGCGCAGTGTTCGCTGTCGTTTTCGCACCACTCGGCTGCTTTTTACGTTACTACGTTTCTCTAGTGCTGAATGCCCGACTCCCCTCCTTCCCGCTAGGTACGTTCGCCGTGAATATCTTCGGAACTATCATCCTTGCCATGTGCTATGACTTGCAGCATGTTGATGGCATCGGGGCCTCCTCGCTTGGCTCTGGGACTAGTTTGTCGATACTCACGAGCTGCCAGGTGCTTGCTGGGGTTATGGATGGGTTCTGCGGTTCAGCAACTACGATTAGTACGTGGGTGGCTGAATTGAATGGGCTGAGTCGGCGACGACATGCCTATTTCTACGGAATTGTCAGCATCGGGGTTGCCTTGGGATTTTTTGTAATTATTACGGGTTCCTTGAGGTGGACGAGGGGGTTCATGGAACCCGTTTGTAAGTGATATGTTAGCTGTATGTATTCTATAACTTTATGGAGATGTATAAGATAAAAACCTAATATTAGTTAATGATAAAATGGATGAAATAACACTACAGCTACTATTGGTGTGTAGTTTGTAGTTTGATGTGTACTACTACTGTTTACTGTGTAGATAATAGCAATTGAATTCCCCGCTCAAACAAATTGTATTTTGTGCTAGAATTACTTATAGTACAGGGTACTACAACGCAAAACCATGTGCAGGCCAACAAAAAATAATATCAAACAAACACTGTAAATATAAAGATACGCAATGAACAATCTTCAAGAAAGGAATATCAAAGCATGCAAAACAGTTGCGTCAAACAGAACACGTCAAAAAATATGAGGGGGGTGAGATAGAACGCAAACATTAACGGCGGGGACGGCATAGACACATAAACTCAGAACGATTCTAACTCAAATACATTAAGGCAAAAGCTCAAAAGGAGGTAAAAAATAGTAAACCAAAGTATATGAGAACGAGTGACTTGAAGAGAAGCTTTAAAGTGGTAAGATGAATAGATAACGGACAAGGTATCAAATGATCAGGGGACAAATCGACTGGCAAATTGACCAAACACGCTGATGCGTAGAAGAGAAGCACTAAGGATTAAGAGTGTAATGATGAGTATCAAGAAAACAACAACTCCACCGAGTGCTAAAGTGAAGAACACACAGGACCAGCCGGGTGTCGAGATGTTGCCTTGGGAAACTGCCCGTAAAAACAAAAAAATGATCACACCGGACTCCTGTGAGCTCTTGCAAAAACCAACAGGAATGACGATAAATAACGCAAAGACGTAACGAAACGATTAACGATGAACAAACGTCAGTCAGGAGACACCAGCAAGAAGCATTATGCGGCGGTTCAGATCATAGCATTCCATAACCGGAAATCAAACTTCGCCGCCCACCTTCTTGCACCTCCATCCCGACCCTAAAAATCCGAGATTCCGCCAGTGTCCAAATGCCCAGGAAACGAGAGGAAGAAAAATTGAAAACGTTCATTGATGAATGGGACCCGAGTCAGAGCGAGAAACACCAAGAGTGAAACCCAGCCCCGAGGGCCGAAAAGAGCATCACGGCGATAAAAAAGAAAGGTCAATGATAGTGCGAAATTTCGAACCGAACGTACTTATAGCCTAGTACGCCGTGCCCACACTAGCAAGTGTCTTTGTTGGCATTGGGTGAATAGGTTGGTCCTTGGCGACGCGCAATGAATCTTCGTAGCCAACCAAGGCCTGCGAGTGAAGTTTGAACGATTCGCCCATGAGCTTGGTAATTCTGAGATGGTGTCAGTAACTTGGCTTTAATATTGTGTGTTGAACAGATTGAAACTTACCCCCATACTACCACTCCGTCTAGGATGTTACCCCATACACGGGCCACAGTGGAGCTGAGTTTACCAAAGGCATCGACGGCGTCATCATCGAACAGATTCCGGACTTTGTTGTAGATGGCCATCTCAGCCTCAGTCGCAGGCTCCTCGTCATGTTCCAGGCGATAGAGCCAGAGACTCAAGATGACCATCAGGTCCAAGCCACAGAGCGGATGCTCGACACTCCAGTTGGTTGCAGATGTCTTCGCAACCCAGTTAATTCCCTGGACGGCAGCAATCTCGATGCATTCGAAGCAGGACTGAATAACATTGTTCATCTCCTGGGAGCGCTTCACCTTTTCACGAGCAACTGTCATAGCAGCAGCCACTTCATAAGACGAATGGTACCGCAAGGCCTCCTGGATCGACTTAAGGTCGACCTCCAACCGAGCGCGCGTGTTGCGATAAACAGCCATAGAGTTGAAGATCAATGGATGGCCTTTCTGAGGAGTGCTGAGGGGTACCACGATCGTCTCTGGCTCACAAACTTCAAGAGAATTCTCCCATGTTTCGAGTGCGAGACGGAGCTTATATTCAGTCACAACGTCTTGGAGAGCCTCGAAGCTCCGCTTGTGGTTCCAAACCTGCAAGAACAGAGCGTTTATCAAGACACGAGTCGCAAAAGCACTGTACCGAACTTGTTCGCCTTGGAAGAGGCAGTCGTGAGCTTCGCGAACTGTTAGGGTAGTGGTCGAAGCCAGGCTACGGCGCCATGCCTCATCATCCGTCACATTAAGGTTCCACAGCGATTCTGATGATGGAAGCTCCAGATTATCAAATTCGTCGAAGCTCATTGCGGGAGTGTGGTTGAAGGTCAGCGTGAGCATGCCAAAAAAGATGTAGACCGCGTAGTAGGTTCGACGGCATGACTCGTCTTCAATCCATTCTTCCCGGGTGGGCTTGGCCCCCTCGCGAGCCTCTGTACGAAGCTTCAGTTGATAGCGGTTACCAGCGACCATGTTAGCGAGCAAGCTCTTGATGGAACATGTCCATTCCAGGCCTTTCGGGTCGCCGCTCCAACTCTCGAAGATCATGTTCAGCAGGCTGCTTTGCATAGCCCACAGCGGACATTTTCTCGAATCGAAGTTGTCCTTGTGTTGCAGAAACTGCGTAACAAGCATCTTTGAGCCAACATGGAGCATAAATGCGTGCTGACGCTCAAATGTGTACAGGGCGCCAATGGAGAGTACGGCTAACAATAGCGGAGGCGAGGTGTTTGTAGGCTTGAAAGACTCCTGATGCAAGAAGGGCAAATGATGGTGATACAAATTGAAATACGTCGACAGATACTTGTTCAAGGCTGCCGTCGATGGAAGCTGGAAACTATCGGGAAGCGATCCAAGCGCGTCGGCATTCCTGATACGTTCTACGATCATATTCCGCTCAACTTCATTTGCGATTTGAGGAGCCTTGGGCAGTGTTAGTGCTTGGCTGGGTCCAGGAGACTTCCGGTAGTTCACCGGGCTAACAGGGCCTGTCATCGAGGGATATGGTGACAAGGCGTTCGGAGTAGAATTTCCAGACACTGGTAACGAGTTGACGAGTGAGTGAAGCGAGGGTGCAAGCGCATCACCAACCGGCCCATGTCGCTCCATGCTCGACGATAGTGTATGCGAGTCTGGGCCATTGTCTTGGGTCATGAAGTGTTTCGTATCAACTGGAGAGACCAGGGTGTCCCAAGGCATTTGGGGTAACGTCGCGTTGCCCGACAAATAGGATACAGAGGGTTCTAGTAGTGGACCGCGTCCGGGGGAGAAAGAGCGATCCGATTCAGCACGTTCATTAAC